CAGCCAGGGTGGATCTCCTCTAGGACTGACCGGTTTGATTGCCTTGCAGTCCAAGGGACTTGCAGGAGTCTTCTCCAGTACTATAGTTCAAAGGTCTCCATTCTTTGGTGCTCAGCCTTTCTTATGGTCCAACTTTCACAGCCATAAATTGCAACTGGGAAAACCATAGCCTTGACTATATGCACATTTTTGGCAGGGTATTTTTAGTATGCTGTCTAGTTTTGCCATCGCTTTCCTCCCCAGGAGCAAGTGCCTTTTAATTTCTTGACTGCAGTCCCCATCTGCCGTGATCTTGGAGCCCAGGAAAATAAAATCTGTCACTGCCTCCATTTCTTCCCCATCTATTTGCCGGGAATTGAAAGGGCTGGAAGCCATGATCTTAGTTTTCTTAATGTTGATACAACTGGTGATCACACTTAAAACCATAGCAGTACCCTCATTGCCACAGGATCAACATTCAGGGGCTTGGCAATTGGCCTATATTTACCAGGATTGCAGAATCCCAGGGTCACGTGACCAGCATTTGCCATTATTTTATTTCATTTGATTAATTTATTTTATTTTTTAAAAATGTGTGTGCCTCCTGTCTCATCTAGAAATCACTCTAGACGGCTAATAGAACATTAAAAACAGATAAACCTTTAAATGAGAAAACAATAATTAACCGCAATAACAATAATTTACAGTTGAAAGATGGGGGGAAGGGAGTACAAAGTACATGGGGAGAGGTGGGGGTCTTCTCTTAATCCAGTAGCCCCTTCCAGAGTGGTGCCCCTTTCCATACAGGCCAACCAGGCCTTCAGGTTATGGAAGGTCAGGAGGGCGGGTGGCTGGGTGTAGATCTCACCTGATGGGTTTACCCTAGCTTACAATAAAAAAAAATGGCAGGTTTATGTTACATTTCACAGCTCTGTGAGCAATTCAGAACAGATTGGAAAATGTCAGCTTTGCTTGAAGTAATTCTGAGTTATGGATGGGAGGATATAGAAGACCAGCCTCCTGGACAAGGGAAATTGGCAAATCAGTAGCGTGGCAAGATGTGGACAACTTAGCAGTGACGGTCAATTATGAGATGATTTGTATAAAGCAAGGGCCCTGTTGGAATGACCTGAAAATAAATTGGTTGGGTAACACTTGAGTTGATCGGTGGAGGTTTGTTGTTAGTGAGCTGGTTAACAAATTATTAAGAGATGGAAAGACAATTGTTTGCTCTCTATAGCTGTTGTGTAGCTCTTCTGAGGTCCCTCCCGTTCTCTGTTATTTTAGATACTGAGTCAGGTCTATTGTTAGAGCATGTGCGCGCGTGCCCACACCCACAATGCAATGTGCCCCACCCCCCTACAGCCCATTTTGGGCCTTGCAAGCCTCCTTGAAGCCTCCTGAATCCAAAAATGGGGTGCGGCGGGGACTTGCGCGGCAGAGACACAAAAATCAGCTGGCCGGCGGGAGGTGTAAATTCATGCGTGGTGGAGCTGAACTGGGCAATGGCTCACATGCCCACAGAGAGGGTTCCACATGCTACCTGCTGCATGCATGCCATAGGTTCGTCATCATGGGCCTAGTCTATTACTTTTTCTGTTTCTCAAGAACACTCTTAGAGAACATTACAGTCCTGAGCTCTAAATGAGGTTGTTTCCTCTTTGGCAGGAAATACTACCCCAGCATTTGTACTGAAGAAAGAGTCAACTCCTGGTCATCTCCTTCATAGGAAGTGACATTTTGTCATTCATCCTGGGTACAAAAGGGTTAGTTGTGCTCAAACATTATTCTGCAAAGATGGCATCAGAACTGCCATCTCATGCCTGCGCTTTGCATTCTCTAAGCTGCCAGTCTGTCATGAACTATGGGGGGGGGGGGGGGAGCTGGATGGGGGTGAGGAAGGCTAGTGACTCATTGTACCTTCCAGACTAGAGACCCAACTTCAAGGTCAGACTGATGGGAATGGCATGCACCTCCGCACCGTCTACTCTACAGTTGAAGAGACCATTCCCAAAACATTTTATTTGAAAGGGATTGGACAATGAGGGATCAACAATGGGAAGGGACAAAGAGGAAAAAGTTAACCGGGAAAGTTTGGCGCGCAAACTTCAGTTCTGACTTTGCTATATTGTAATCAACTTGGCCTTTAGTAAAGAAAAAACGTCCACAACAAATGGAGTTGAGGGTTGTTCTTCCTTAACTAAGTTGGGGCAGGACTGACAGATGGTTTGCAGGCAGGGTGTAATGCCATGTGGAAACGGCTTTGAGACAGGGCCACCAAGGAAACAGATGAAAGGCAGTTTAATCCACAACATGTGAGGAAGAGGCTCAAAAAAAAATCCTTCTTAGTTTGGAGGCTGTAAAGGGAAGATAAGTACTTTGAGACTTGCAAGATTCTGCTAATGTAACTTTACAGTAAAGTAGATGTCAGCCCTGAAACCATCTTGGAAAACCTTCAACAAGGTGGATTGCAGCTGTGAGAATGTGAAGGGTAGGTAGAGATAGCTGGGGGAGAAATGCAGCCAAAATAACATTCTTTCCCATGGGAGCCAAGGACATCCCCACCAGGAGTTTGGAAGGCGTGGACCTGAGACAGCCAGAGGAGGGCCATGAGATAGATGTGTAACTTGGGGGGCATGAACTATGGGTTTTGATTGGGTGGGGAAAACCTCGAGTCCTTCGCCAGCTGTGCGAATATGGCGTAAAGCGAAATACCACTCATGCATCATCACCAAATCTCCAAAACCGTAAAGCCTACAAACTTGAAGAATCATCAGATCATTAGTATTTCTTAAGTTATTATTACCACACTCTGATGCTAAGGAGTTAGACCAGTGTTTCTCAACCTTGGCCACTTGAAGATGTCCGGACTTCAACTCCCAGAATTCCCCAGCCAGCATGTTGAAGTCCAGACATCTTCAAGTGGCCAAAGTTGAGAAACACTGAGTTAGACTAAGGGAGAGAAGGGGATAAGATAGAAGAGGCCTCTGTGGGGCAAGCCTGAGGGAGAGAAGGGGAGAGGAGAGGCCGATTATAACTACTCATTAATTTTCAAGCGGTAAGTGTCGATTTATCAAACCCGATCGTAGTGGAGCCCAGGTATCCAGCTAGTTCCTAATACATTTAACTTTGAGGAAACTCCAGGCCTCAGAGTTTTGATTTTGTTGGGACTGTTACTTGGAAACCTGACAGCAGAATTAGTTCATCCGGTCATATTTCCTGTCTAGTGTACCACATATATCTTACACAGCAACCCTTGAAGTAGACTTTGTCTTCTCCCAACTCTGTGTCTCATGCAGATTATCATAACTTGTAGCAATGTTAGCTATAATAACATGCATAGAAAAAGAAAAAATCTGGAAAGGAATTTTCTTGCACACCATTTATATTCTAAGTTGCATTTTATGGGGAATCCGCTATGGTTAATGTAAGAGATCTACTGTGCTTTCAATTCCCTAATGTAAGGAAGGTCCCTTTCTCCTTCCTCATCAGGAGGCATTTGAAAGAGCAGAGAGGATAGAGTGGAAAAACTGGCTTTAACCATGTTATTTTATTTATAGCTGGGACAACGAAAGGGCACGAAGGAGTGACTAATTTGTGCAAAGTCACGATTGCTACATGGCTCAAGAAGGTCTCTGTAAATTCAGTGAGATGCCAAAATGATATACATCTCTTCTTCCTTTGTCCAGTTTTCTCCTGTTCAGTTGGAACTACTATATTTTTTGGAATAGAAGACGCACCTTTCCTCCCCCCAAAAAAGAGGCTGAAAATTTGGGTGCATCTTATACACCGAATGTAGCCCCACCCACCGCCACCAGAGGTCAAAAACACCAGGCACGGAGAAGGCAGTGGTCTGTGGCAATCCCTGCAGCCTGAAACAGCTGATAGGGAGTATTCTGGCAGTCGATCCACCGTCAATCAGCTGTGCTGAATCAGGCTGCAAGAAGTGTTGAAGCTGACCTGAATGGTCAGAGTTTACAGCAGCAATCACATTCAGAAATCACAGTAACTGATTCAGCAGAATTCATAGTAATAATAATAATAATATACAATACATTACCAAAAGCAGATTTTCCAAGGTAGCAGTAAATACAAGCAAAACACAAGCAGTTTCACTTTCAGTTCTCGGCCCAGCTTCTTCTTGCTCACACAGCAAATTTCAGAGTCCAAATAGCCCTCATTGTCTAACTTAGTTGCTATGCCTAGTCATTGGTTGACCTTGTTACCACATGTTAGCTAAATATCATGGATGCTGATAAGCAGAGGTAGAATTTTTTTCTTATTTTCCTCCCCAAAACCTAAGGTGTATCTTACACTCCAGAGCATGTGTCACTTGTCCCAGCTTCTGCCAACCTAGCAGTTCGAAAGCATGTAAAAATGTCATTAGAAGAATAGGAACCATCTTT